ATTAATTGTAACAAAATACCATAGCAGTGTAAACTGTTAAAGGGGGAAACTGGGTGTGCGTTGTAGAGGTACTCTGTACTAGCTTCTCAATTTTTCTGTAAATCTTAAACTGTTCCAAAAACAATTATAAGAAGTTACATAAGCTGCTCTAAAAATAGTTTATAAATAAAAACTAAAGTTATTATTTGAACTGCAGTTGTTTTAACTTTTTACTCTGTTACCTATCTGTGTAGCTGGTTATTCTGCTCCCTAACCAACTTTTGTTTCTATAACTGCGGGGGACCGGCGGGCTGGATGCTACACATGAGATTATAGACACTTGGGTTCTGAATAAATTGTGTTTGAACAAAGGTCAACATGACCGTTTCTTTTTATTCTTATTCTAAAAGAAAAGAATATGTCTGGCATCTTTTGGTTATGCCTTCTTATCTGCCTCTCTAATAAATATATTTTTCTCAAATAAAGTGCATAAATATTCTTTTAAAGTCACACTGACAGGGTATCGTTCCACCTATGAAATCAATATTCTGAAATAAGGTGCCTAACGATAGACTTAACCCTATCAGCGTTATTAGAGGAAATGCAAATATGAAAGATGTCAAGTCGGGCTCATTCAGCCCGGAGTTGAGACGCCCTCCAGCGGGTCCCAGTAGAGGAGTTGTGAGATGTGTGCCGTGTGGCATGGGGTTCTTTAGGATGCACGTAAGAAAGTCAGCTCTGTTGACTCAAGCAATGCAGTTTGGATAGATGCCGACAGTGGCCTCAAGGAAGCGAAGGGCAGCGCCGGGACCGACAGGTGCTCCCGCGGGGAGACCATCGCAGCGGGTATCGGCCTGGCTTGTTTACCTTCCAGTATAGCAGGTCGGTGGCTTGCATCGGGCTCAGGTGGCACTGGTGCTCTCCCGCCTTTTATCCTATGGATTTAGGGGCTTGCTCCCCCAAACAGGTGGTGGATGGAGGTGAGCCGGCAAACTGACGCATGCGTAGCAGCTCTCTGGAGGGACAAGGGTGGGCTGGGCAGGCCTCACAATGTGTGTGTGGGGGTGTGGAAGGGTGTGGGGGGGTTGGGGAGGGGCTGACTCTGGGGTCTCTAAGGAGTTCCAGCTGTTCCTGTCGAGTCCAACTTTAATTTGACTACGTGGTCTCTGCGTGTCCACTCTCCCCGCCCCGCCCCACCCCCCAGCCGGCCCTTTAGACCCGGGAGGGACTCAGGTAGGGGTAAACACCCCAAGTAGTTCTCATTTACAGCCAGATTGAGAATCACTCTACCTTCTTTATTACAGTGTACGCTTCCTCTTAATTCAGACTTGCCAATACCCCTCATGACATCTCCCAAGCGGTCTTTTTCAACTTCCACTTCTTACCTGATCCACTGTCTCCAAATTTCCCCGATTTGAATGCCCAGATTTGTTTGAGCCGAGCTTTCCACCAGCCATTAGTCGGGTCTGCGGCCTGGCTGTCCCAGGGTCATTTGCTCAGCCTTTCCAGTTTGGAGTCCCAAGAAAGGGAATTGGATCTATTGACTCTTTGCACTGGGAGTGTCTGGGTGGGGTTTTGTGGCCCCAGGTCCCCTCCCAGGTTACAGGCCAGTCTGCTCCATGACTGCTAGTTAGGTGGTCTAGTCAGGGGTGACAGGGCCCTACAGGAAGCCATGGAACAAAATGGGCCTGGGGCGGGGGAGGGCTGTGGACAGAGCAGTTCCCCTCAGGTTGACTTGCCTAGTCAGCAAGCACCTACCTCAGGACTCTGGATTTTCCACTGGAAAGCTGTACACTGTTTTTAAAAAGACATTTAGCTCAGAAAACCTATAATCTTTCATCATAATTCAGCAGTTTCCACAAGTAGCACTTAATCAAAAAGCTAGAAGTTGGCTGTATCAGATGCAATGTTATACTCTGGCCACTAACAATTTCTTCTTTTTTAATCAACTAAAAAAAAAACCCTGGGATTCCTCTCCCAACTTTCCTTTTAATTTGGGGGGAAGAACAACTGGGTGGGGGGTACTTTAAAAAGTTCTTGTTGCCAGATTTGGGCGCAGATGTACATAAATGGTAGTAGGAGTGACACATTTCACTGGGCCCGAAGAGTCCCCTGGGGTAGGGGTGGGGTGAAGCAGAAGGAAGAGTCCCCGGACGTCTAGGAGGCCTGCTAGGCCACGTCACCTTTTCCTCCAGGCGAGAACACCTGTTGCTTTGTTCCAGCCTCATCTTTGGAGAACAGAACCCACTTCTTTTGGCATTGCTCCTCCCTCCACTCCAAACCAGGGTCCAGAGACAGGCTGTCGTAGACATGACAGTCGTTTAGTCCAGGGTGGCTCCTGATTCACGAGGGGCTGATCAGAGGCCTTCCCTGGCATTCTGAACCAGACCTTGGAAGGAAAGTCTGCTTTTCTTGTGGCCTGGACATTCAGATATAAAAACTAAGAGCTACTGGCAATCCAATCCCTGCTGTAAGGTGGAAGCCAATCCAGAGTGATAAGAGAGAAGAATGTTGATCTGCAGAGAGAAGCAGACAAGAGATGCAGAGACCTGGTGGCATTGGTGTCCCTGACATTTACCTGTACCCATGTCTTTTCTGCAGCTTGGCTCTTCAACCCTTACTTCAATATGTAAAAGACCCCAGAGCCCTCCCAGCAATGCACAAGTGTATCAGTTACCTATCACTGTATAAAAATTTGCCCAAAAGCTTGGGGACTTAAAACAGCAAACATTTATCTTTTGGTCAGAAATTGAGGAGTGGCTTGGCTAGATGGTTCTGGTTAGATTGCAGTCAAGCTGTCAGCTGGGGCTACCGTTTTCTATAGGCTTGACTGTGACTGTGACTTGGAAGGATCCACTTCCAAGACAGCCCACCCACATAGCTCTTGTCTTGGCACAAGGCCCAGATCCCTGCTGGCTGTTGGCAGGCCTGTTTCATTGGCTGTTGGTAAGAGACCTCAGTTCCTCACACACACAGTTCCTCTCCACAAGCTGCTGGTGTCCTCACAACATGGCGCCACCTTCCCCCAGAGGGAGCAATCCAAACGAGAGAGCAAGGAGGAAGCCACAGTGCCTTTTATGACCTCGTCTCTGAAGCTGCACATTTCACTTCCACTTTATTCTTTTCTTTTCTTAAGATTTTATTAGAGGAATTGGGGAAGGGGAACAGTGTTGGGGAATTGGGGAAGGGGAACAGCCAAGTTGTTGTCCTTCAGTCTTAGTTGTGAAGGATGCAGCTAGCTCAACTCCAAGTCCATTCGCCATCCAGCCGCCCGTTGGCAGCTCACAGCCGCTCAGCTCAAGGTGCCGTGTTCAATCTTAGTTTTGGGTGGGCTAGCCCACCATCCCATGCGGGAGTTGAACTGGCAACCTTGTTAGGAGCACGTGCTCTCACCAGCTGAGCCATCCTGTCACCTGTTGGCAGCTCAGCAACAGCTCAGCTCAGGCGCAGCTCACTGGCCCATGTGGGAATTGAACCACGGACCCTGTTGCTCAGAGCTCATGCTCTTAACCAACTGAGCCACTCAGCCAGTCCACTTCCACTTTATTCTTTTCTTTAGAAGCAGATCACTCTGTCCAGTCCACCTTCAAGAGAGGACAATTAGGCTCCACACAAGTAATCGCCATGCACCTAATTCTGTGGTCTCTGTTCTCCCTGACCACCGCCTTCTCCTGGCCACTGGGACTCGTCTTAGGTGTCTCCTCACTACGCTACCAAAGGGCTGGGCTCTGGGGTGTTTAGCTCTTTCAGAGGTGCCGTGGGCCCTCAGGAGATCTGTTTTATCCCGTCTTCTCAGCTCTGATACAACTGAGTGACTCTATTCCATGTAAAAGGCAGCTCTGCCTTGGCAGAACCAATCCCTTCCCCCTACTGTGAAGACATAAACTATTTGTAAGACAAAAAATGGGGATGAGGTGTGTGAACAGAATATTTAAAATCTGTGCTGCTCTACGACTCTGGGGCCCAATGCTGTTTTACCTATATACTCGTATTTCTTAGGGAGGTATAAGGGACCTTCAGGGTCAATGGCGACCATTGATTTCCCTGGTGGTCGGTTCCAGAAAAAACAGAGGAGTCAGGAAGGAGTGGATGACCGACCTGCCATCGTGACAGTGACTGGGATGCCGAGGGCTGAGAGCAACAGGGGACCTGGGATCTCTCAGAAAGCTGTGGCGTAGGGGAGTTGGGGTAGGAGGGCAGTACCCACGTTGCTCGTGAACCCACTGGGGCTCTCAGTTGCAAGCAACAGACATTGACAAGGCTGATATGAGCAGAAAATAATTTAAGGGAAGGATATGGGGGCAATCACACAATTTCTGGGAACACTGGTAAACCAGCTTCTCAAAATGAGAAGGAACTGGAAGGCTCTGTGGCCAGAGCAAATCACGGTGCAGACCCTGACACTGTGCCCATCACCATGGACTCGAGACAGCAGCTTGTAACACGGCCCAGAACACCGGACACTGGTGCCACAGTTGCCAGAATCAATCACCATTGCCCTCGCTTCTTGGTGTCACTTGCTCCCAATTCAAAGTCAGGGCAGGTCTGTCTGATTGGCTGAATCTACACCATCTGCCTGTGCCTTATTTGCAAGGGAGCTAGGAAAGCAGGCCTTTTCAGCTTCTGTTGGTGGAGGCGGGCTTCACTTCCCACCAAGATGCAAAGGGTGGGGGAATCTTTACACAAAGGAAAAAGATCCTTATCCAGGCAGCCCCAAATCCTCAGAGGCCCCTTCAGGGAGTAAGAAACCGAGGGTCCAAGATCATTCTTGTAAGAAGTTTGGAGGGGAAGGGAAAGAGAATGGTTAAACTAGGGGAACAGCAAAACCAAAGGACCTTTTCTTTTCTTTTTGGTAAGATTAAGGGGCCTGAGCAGTTTCATAGAAGAAAAATAAGAACGTCTCCTGACAAGACAAAAGTAGCCTACACTCTCTTCTGCCCCTACAGCAGCAGGACAGAACTGTCCAAAGATGAGACCATTGAAGGAACTAGAAGAATATTACTAATGACTCTTCAAACGCCTAAGTTGTCTGTTGTCTTTAATTCACATCTAAATAGATAACATATTCTTCTTTAATTATAATATGGAAATGTCTATGAACAAAATAGATACATTTTTTGGCAAATGCCTGGGAAAGACTGGTCAAGTTCCTCCAAGGTTTAAGCAGCAGCATCTGTTCAGCCAGGGCGTGGTCAGTGTTTGGGGATAGAGGTAAATATCCGCAATCCGTGCATTCCTTTGATTTCTTCTTTTAGCGCCTAAATAAGTAAAATAGCATCACCATTTCTTTCATATTTGACATTGATTACAGTAAGTCTCTCTGAGGGTATTTTTACATATGGAGATATTTGTAGGAGACTTTGCACACGCTTCCTTTAAGCAGTTTTTCCTTTCTTGGAAAACATTTTTTTGTGTTTTTGAGTGAGAATTTAACCTGGCTCAAAAATAAAAAATGCTCTCTGCTTTCTGTAGGCACAGAATGCTCCCTAGAGGCTGTGCCTGTGTGTCTGTGCCAAGGCCACAATCCCTAAGCCTCCGTGGCTAGGTGAAGGAGCAGTCACACTTTCACACGAAAGGCCTGGACCCCTTGAGCTGTGCCTTCTCCCAGCTCTCTTACAGCCCCCTGAGGACTCCCCAACACAGATCATAGTATCTTACAGCTACAGAGGGCCTTAGAGATCACCTGGGTCTGTTTACAGTTGAAGAAACTGAGGTCCTGGTGGGGAACTGACTTGGCCAAATACCCAGCACAGTGATGGGCCTTACCAGACCCCAAGCCAGCTATTGAGTGCTGTGGGTGTCCTAGGACAGAGCACCTGCTATCATACTGGTCGTTCGTGGAAGAGGCAGCCCAGAAGCTGGATAGCTGGGAGTGGAATGGGCAAAGGACAGAGCATTGGGCCCAGGAGTGCCAGGTGAGGAAAAGCTGGGAACATACCACGATTCACCAGGAAAAGCTTGGCTTTGAGGGGAAAGACTAAGGCAGACCACACAGGGGATCGGAAATCTCAGGCTAGGAGGGTGGGACTGGACTCTGGGTAACCAAAGTGCACACTGAAGGGCGGGCTCTGAGCTGGGGACGCTTAGGTGGAGGCACCCTTAGGTGGAGGCACCCTTAGGGGAGGGTGATGTGCACCAGACAGGAAAGAGGCCAGAGAAGGGGAGAGGACAACAGCTATTTACCAAATGTCTTCCACATGCCAGCATGAGGCTGGGCACGTGTGGTCAATACCTCCTGTGATCTTTGCCAAAGAGGAAACTGAGGCTCAGATCCCACTGTGAGGCTGAGAGCCAAGGTGGACCCAGCTGTGTCTCCAACACAAAAGGGAAGTCGGTGCTCACTCTCCTCCCTACGGCTGCTCCCCGGGGAAGGAACAGGACGGATGGGGAAGGAACGCCCGTCACCCGGCATCCCTGGGGCCTGGCCCAAAGCAAATGCCAGTGATTACTTCAGAAGAGAAACCTGGTCAAGCGTGGGAGCGGGGAGGGGCTGGGCTACAAGCAGGGTCTCAGAGGAACAGTGCGTTTGCTTCTGAGGGTGGAGCAGGTGTGAGTCGTGGCGGCAGGGGCACCCAGTCCCCAGGGAATCCAGGAGGGACTGTCTGATGAGAAGCGGATTCCAGCATCAGATGAACCAGAAGGCCTTTCCTGGCCCTTTTGGGCCTGAGAGTCTCAATTCTACTAGGGTGACCAGGCAAGATCAACGAGGGAAGCTTCACCCTGGCCCAGGAGCACCAGGTCCCCCACCTGACAGCCTGGGCATCCAGTGCACCTGGATGGAGCACCTCCCCCCACTCTCACACGCTCCCCAAGAACCTACTTCCTCAGCACTCGGGGAACAGAACCTATTGCTTTCTCCTCCACTCCACTTCCAATCGCCCTCCTCCTATGTGGAGTGCCTGTCAGACCCTGATTCCCAGCACCTCTAAAAGATGAGCCACTTACTCCAGGTTCCAGCTCAGATGCCTACAGGCCAACAGGCTTGCTCTTAAAGACATTTTATTTCGCATCTCCCACAGCCAACACCCGCAAATGTAATCCTCTGAAAATGCCCATGAGCACATCAGTACCTTGAGACACACACATTAGAGCCCTCCCAGCTTTCTGTGGCTAATGGGGCCACTGCTCAAGCTGAAGGTCAAGCTCGGAACGTCCTTCCTTCCCTGCCAACCCAGCTCCGGGAGCTGTGGGTGCCTGGCTATAGGACCACTGGACCTGCTCCAGGACCAGCAGTGCTTGTGTGGGCAAAGGAGCCGCTATGGTATCCCAGGGTAAAAGTACACCAATGCCAGGAGGAAATGGAACACCTTTTAGGCACTGAATGTGTAATTTCTCTGTAAGCCAATCACCAAGCCCAGGCCAGGTCTCCTAACTGTTTGCAAACTCAACAAGTACCGATTGAGCCCCTTTATGTGCCAGACCCATTGTTAGCTGTAGGGGACGCAGCTGTGAACAAAAGGCCCAGCCTGCACAGTCAGCTTTAGGGCGATGGCACACAGCGGGCAGGGTGCTCCAGCTACAACGGTAGGGGGGAAGAACACGCTCTGCAGGGGCCCTGAGGAAACCCTGAGAACAGGATGATGTAGGTGACCTTCCCCCAAACCGCAGGAACTGCTGCCCTCCCCCGGGACTTGGTGTAGGTTCCGCCCAGTGTTATAGATGATGATGATGACAGTGGCGGCAGCTGACATTTATTGAGGGCTTACTATGTGTCAAGCACTGTTCTCAGTGCTCTACTTCATCACTAATCCTCAAAACAGCCCTTTGAGGCAAGTACTGTTCCTCTCCCCATGTTACAGATTAGGAAACTGAGGCACAGGGAGGTTGAGTAACTTGCTCAAGGTCACAGAGCTGGAAAATAGCAGAGCCAATGCTTGAAATGTGCAGAGTCTGACTCCTGAACCTACATCCGTAACCACTTGTAACTGTGGCTTCAAGGCAGGGGATGCACTCAAATTAACAGCACCCCTAGGAGTCCAATTGTACCAGGTGGCCTGAACAAAACCCAGTCCCGTCAGGTGGGGATGATCTGGGCCAGTCACATCTTCTCTATCTTGTCTTTGGCCTTGACTCCAATCCCTGAGATCACGTGGGGCTAGAAGCTGTTCCCCACCAGACTGCCTAGGCAAACCACCAGCACACCTTCGGTGCCCACATGCCAGTGAAGGGCTGGGCTCCATGAGGATCCGAAGATGGATCCAGAAGAGAACCAGCCCACACAAGGCTGACATGGCCAAGGGACAGAAGGCAAGGATGTAAATATCCAGGACACAAGGCAGAAAATGCTGGAGTTAGAGGGTGGAGGGCGTTCTTCCCCGCCAGGCAGGTAGGAAGGCAGCATTTGAGCTGGGAGGAGGGAAGAAGGGAACCCTGCAGGAGGCCCAATCTGGACAAACGTCCAGATGCACAGAGACCAATAGGCAGGGGCTGAGGAAGGGTGTGTGCCAAGAAGGGTGGGGGAGGCCTGGAATAGCAATCTGGGACACTTGAACTCGATGTATGCGGGGTCACAGAAAGACTCTCATGGCAAAAGCTGTGCTTTACAAAAGTTAAATTAGTTCACAATGTTCAAGACCTTCCAGAATGATGTCAAACACCTCTGCTAAAAGGAGTGAGTTTATAGACAGGCCCAGGGGTCAAGGCTGGTATTAATTCCAAGTAAAATAAGTGTAGATAATGAATAAACTTGGCTTTGTCTCATTAAATCTGATGCTTCAGACCCCTATTGCCTGTCACTGGGTCGGGGGCAACTGGAGCAATTCTTAATCATGCTGTGCCTCAATTTACCCATATGTAAAGCAGTCCTAAAGAGAAGCTAAAAAAAAATCTTCAAATTTAAAAAAAGTATCTTTTAGTACTCTTGCATTTACAAACACTATTCAATATGTGATAATAATGGTAACATTATACCAAAAAAAAAAAAATGCAATATAACTATCTATTGGGTGGCTTGTTTTCAATTTTGAAAAAATTCATACTTGCCCACAATCATATTCCAGATAGTTTCAGATTATATTTTTCTCAGGTCTTAAGTCCTGTTTGCATGACTGTGGCATTGCATTATTCATCAGTCCTATGCTGATATAATACCATCCCCACTTGGCAGGCCCTTTTGGAGGCTGGAGACGTGGCAAAGGAGCGTTATTGCCTCTACTAACCTGATTTACCATCTGGTGCTGTTGCACAGTCCTCTTCTCCTTAAATTCTTCTGACTCTATCTGGATCTCATACATTGCCCCGCAGCCTCCTGAAATAAATGCAATTTGAAAGTGTTTCAATCACTAAGTTAGGGCAGCCACAGTTCCACGTGTCCTTAAAGTACCACACAATCTCAAGAAGGTTGAACATTATTATTCAGCAGAAAGTTGCTAAGACTGTTAGAAAAAGATCATGGCTTACAATCTGACCACATACTCTTGCTGGCAGGCTGCCCTGATCCAAAATGTGTTCTTCCTTTTGCAAGGCAGTTGCACCAACAGGACTATTACTTGTGGGGTAGGAAAGATAAGGCACAAAGCATGAAAAACCTAGGAAATGTAGGTTTTCCTACTATTTTACTAAGCCGGCAAATGCCATGGAAGAGGTTGGGAGGGACTGAATTTCAGTGTTCCACCTTCAAAAAATAATAGCAATTGGGTTTTGTGATTTTGTTAAAGATTATTATTTTTTTATTGGGAAACAGTGTTGGGGAATTGGGGAAGGGGAACATTGTGTTTTTTCAGGACCCATCAGCTCCAAGTCAAGTTGTCGTCCCTCAATCTTAGTTGTGGAGGGCACGGCTCAGTTCTAAGTCCAGTCACCATTTTCAATCTAGTTGCAGGGGGCGCAGCCCACTACCCCATGCGGAAATCGAACCGGCGACCTTGTTGTTAGGAGCACGTGCTTTCACCAGCTGAGCCATCCAGCTGCCAGTTGGCAACTCAGCGGCAGCTCAGCTTGGGCGCAGCTCACTGGCCCATGTGGGAATCGAACCGGCAACCCTGTTGCTCAGAGCTCACACTGAACCAACTGAGCCACCCAGCCACCGTTCGGGTTTTCTTTTACAGTGCAAAAATACATGAAAATTTGGTTTGAAAACTGTGGAATACTATCCAAAACAAAAGAAAGGAACAAGGAAGTGTGGTAGAGACAGGGACACAGCATTATAACCAAAACTGTAGACATGCAGGTCATGGAGCTGCTGGGCTCTCTCTAGCACCTCCTGCTCTATAAGCAACACTGAGTGTTTCATCGTAGGCTTTCGCAGGGAGAGAGCAGCTATCTGGTGAAGCTCTCAAGGCTGAGCTTGTGGTGGACTCATCCAGCCCCTTACCAAGCTCTGTCTCCACATGGCCAGAGAGCTAATGCTGATGACTGATGATAAAGCGTGCAGCCCTAGCATAAAACAACCTGGGCAAGAAAGAAAATGTCCTCTGTGCTGTTAACACCAGGCCACTGGATGAGAAGTTCTTTGTCACGCTTCTCATATGGGCTCTAGGAGTCAGTCCAAGCTTTGGTTAAATCAAGTTTCCCGGCCTCAGTTCCCTTTCTGCACGCGGTCTAGGCCTGGGCAGAGTCAGACAGGAGGTCAAGTTCCAGTTCTGCCATACCTGGGCCTGGGGCAGGTACAGGACTGGTGACATCAAGGCCTCAGCATTGCCCTGAGATCCCTGCAGAGTGCTCACCTCCACCTACCATTCTAAAAGATCTTTAGATTGATTCATTTCCTCTAGTTCTGGGGTTGGCAAATTGCGGCTCGTGAGCCATATGTGGCTCTTTGGGTACATTCCATCTCAAAAGTTTGCTGACCCCTGGAAGAGCCAATCCTGTCCCTCACAACAATTTAAAAATTATTCAAGAGCCATAAATATATTTTTACATAATCACCATTATGTGAATAATACCCTTTAAAATTTTTATAAATGAAACTATGATAGTTTTATTCTCATTTTCAGTTTTACTTCAGAGCCTGGGGCTCAGGAGCCGCAGTTTGCTGACCCCTGGCGGCTCTTCCATCTCAAAAGTTTGCCGACCCCTGCTCTAGTTTCTGGAATAAAAACGACTTTCTAAACCTCCCAAGCCTTGTAAATGTTATGTTCTCAGAAGCCAGTGAGCCATTGTGACAATGCAGGATGGCAAAGGCCGCTTCTGGGTGTGGGGAGTCAGGTGGACGCCCATGGCCAAGCTGTTCACGGGTGTGTCTGGATAAAGGCCCAATCTTCCCCATCCTGTGGGTGCACAAGGTGATGCCCCGCCTGCTGCTGACACACGGCCAGCCTGAGCTTCTGAGGTGCCAGTGGCCATCTGAGAAAGGAGGACCTGGCCGGGATAGGACTCTAGGCCCAGGCCAGAGTCTGCCCTGAGTCCTGGTTCTGGTTCTGCCACCTCCTCCCTGTGAGGGACTGGGCAGATTCTTCAGCCTCCCTGGGCTCAGCTCCTCATGTGGAAAGTGAGGCAGTTACTTTCCTCAAAAGGACAAATTCCTCCTGGGGGCCACTCTAGCTCTGACCTTCAAGGGTGTCAGAAGAATGTGGAGAAACTTTTGGAAAACCCACCCATCTCGCAGTGGACCAGAGCCCCGAGGTGACTGAGAGGGACCTTGTCTCCACACATAGTTTCCCTCAGTGTTTCTGTATCCCCACTTCCACATCTGCCTAAAAGCCACACATATTGAGAAGCCGTGATGGCAAGTTCTTTCCGCCAAGTCCCCTGCCCTCTGCCCCTCCAGAGGGCAAAATTCTACTTAACTCCATGGGAAAGATGAGAGAAAAACCTTACCTGAAATGTCAGTGACTTTGATAGCTGTAGCTCGAGGAAACTTTTCTTGGAGAATCTGGGTCACTTTGAGCTCCCCATCAGTCTGCGAGGCAAACATCCGCTGGACACAGTGGAGAGGAGGAAGCTGCCACAGAACAGAGTCGTGGCTGAGCAAGATGACGCTGCCCCAGGCTGGCCGGGCCACTGTGCAGGCCCCACCTGTCACTCCCCTGCAAGGCAGGGCCAGCAGGCCATGGGCTAAGTCAGAGGGGCTGCATGCGTGGTGTCAGATCTCCTTTTAAGCTCCCCAGGATGCAGAATAAACTTTCTTGGGGTGGGGTAGGGGGATTGTAAATAACTCACTTTTCACTCTAGAGACAAGGCCCCAAACCTTATTCAGTAGATGTTTAACTTGCCATGATAATGCCGTGAGAAAGATACTATTATGGTGGCAGTTTTATAGGTGAGGAAACTGAGGCATTAAATAACATGCCCAAGGCAGGATCAGTTAAGAACATGCAGAGCTGGGAGGAGCTGGGCAGCCTGCCTCGGATGTGCCCTGCTGGATCAGTGTACCACTGACCGTGCACTGGTGGGGCCAGATGTCACCCACCCTTTAGGCCTGAATAACATTCCAGTCTCTCCAGTGGAATACGACCTTGTGGCCTACTGCCCAAGAAGCCAGCTACTCTTTGCAACATGTACTAATTCTCACCGGGAAGAGGAAGCAGAATTCTATTAAACCACCTGAAGGAGGAACATGTTTAGATTATTTGCCATTGGCAACCACTCTTTCTTCCACCCCCAATGGCTACCACAGGGAGCCAGTGCTTCTGAGAGGAACATGTCTCAACCCTTAGGGGTGAAGGGGCAGAAAAGCAGGTCAGCAGCCGCTTGGCTAGGTTGACACTGAAAAGGGAGACTGAAAACAGAGCATGGTAGGCCTTGAATGTCAGGCTAAAGATTTTGGACTTAGTTAAACAGACGTCTTAAAGCTAGTGCATTTTGACACCAGGTTAAGAGGCATTACAAAGACAGTAGCACCAGCTTGGGTCCCTGATTGGAGGAGGACAGTAGGTGGAACACCAGCACTGTTCATGGAGTGCTGGTGCTGAAGGTACCTCCCCTTTATCCTCAGTCCTGCCCATCCTCAAGCCCTTCCCCATGGCCCAGGGCAGGGTCCTACGTTATAGAACCTTGGAGCACTTTCTTTAAAATGATCTGGGTACTGGCTCTTTCACCAACTGGTCTCAGAGGTCAAGACTGAGTCTGTCCTGTTACTGCAGCCTTCCAGAGTTGAGCCCAGGGCAGGCCCTCAGGAAAACGGGGGATGAATGGATGGATGAATGGATGGATGGATGGATGGATGAACGGACAGACGAACCAGCAGGGGAAGAGGGGAAGAACCACACAATTCAGGACATGCCTACTGGGCACCCACAAAGAAGTCTGACAAGCAGTTGAAATGCAGGTCAGGAGAAAGGTCTGAACTTAGACTCTCTGAGTGTTGTGCGGAGGGAGAGAAACTTGATGTTGTGGACCTGGGTAAGACTAGGGTGTGGATTGGGGTGAAGCCTTTTCTGAGGACAGCACCTGGAGGGGCAAAGGCAGGTGGCAGGCAGAAGCATAATCACTAAGAGGTGAGGGTGGTTAGCATTGCAGATTCCTCAGGAGAAGCCTTTATTTCATCTTAGCAGATCTGTGGGCAGGGGCCTTTAAATCGGCCATCTACTGACAAAATCCCCAGATGCCGCTGGTCCACGCTGAAAGTCACCAATAGAACTGTTTTGGGGAGGCAGGTTCAAGACCATTACGGGAGAAGGAAGAGTGTGAGAGGAAAGAAAAGAAATGGATCAAGTGAGGAAAGGATGAATAAAAAAGGGGGAGAGAAAATTAGGAGAGCGCGTGGTGCATGCCCTCTGCTGGGCTTCGATAATGGGTGTGTGGGATTTGGGGAAGGTCAAGGTTAAGGAGGCCCGGAGGACGTTCCCAGAGCCCAGACCCCGCCACTGCGCCCGGGCACCCACGCCGTGACTCTGGGCTAGGACTCCTGTCTTCGGCTTGATAGGTCAACAGTACTTTTTCCGTGCCCTCTGTATTATGGCTGTTTAGGTGTCTGTTCCCCTCGCCTCGACCTCCACCGGGCTAAGGAGGTCCCCCAGCGCGCCCGGGCCTGACACTTCTCCGAATGCGGGGTGCCCAGTCCCACTGAATGAACAAATCAACGATAGAATAAATGAAAGAAAGGAAGGGAAGCCCCCCGCCCTGGCCCTGCAGCAGCTCCCACCCCGGGGAGAGCACCCGGTCCGTGCCCGCGCTCACCCCGCGGATCTGGCGGAGCAGAAGCGCTGCCGCGGCCGGGCTCCACGCCGCCATGCCCGGCCGACGCTACCCGCCGCCCGAGGTCGCCGTGTGACCCGAAAGGTGCGGAGCCCGGGACCAAAAACCGCCACCGTTGGCGAGGCCGCCCCCTGCCGCCCGGAGGCCGCTCCACCCACGCCGGGACGCGCCACCCCGGAACCTGCCGCGCCGCCCGCTCAGGGCCCCCGCCCTCCCCCACACTCGCACCGCGCTGTGCTCCACTCTCCCAACCTCGTTCCTGCCGCGGGTGCTTCCCTCTCGGCTTAGAAACACCGCCCAGGTCCCGGGCCCTCCTATCTAACTTTCCCTCCCCCCAGTGCACCTCGTGCCCTAGGTGGAACTTCACTCCCATTCCCATCCCCTACTTGCAACCTAGCTTCTCAACTGAGGAATTTGGGTTTCTCCCTTCAGAAAAAGGGGAGCCGGCGGAGGGGGGGGGGCGGATTTAAGCAGGGGTGTCTTTCCAGAATTGCGTGTTAGAAAGAGCACCGTGGTTCCTGTGAGGAGGAGGGACTGTAGGGGACTGGAGTTAGAGCCCAGGACGTAAATTCCGAGGCTATTGCAGTGGTCCAGGTGACCTGAGGCCTGAACTAGAGCAGGAGCGGCTGGAGGGATTGGAGAAGTGGATTGAGATATTTGGGAGGTGAGTGGAATGCAGCGACTGTATTGGGGTGGGGTAAGGGTGAGGAAGGCATCTGAGATGATGCCTAAGTTTCTGGCTTGGACAACGAAATGGGTGGAAGAGGGCCGGGTTGGTTGTAAAGGGGGACGACAAACTCAGCTTTGGATTTGCCTGAGTTTAAGGTGCATGCGAGATATGGCCCACCGGATGTGTAGACTCCACAGTCTGTGGAGTCCTAAAAATGTAGTGGAAGCTGATGCCATGAGGGATGGGTAAGATTGTCAGCTAACCCGCCCCCTTCTGGAGTACATCAGACAGAAGTCAAGGCCGAAATTCTACCAAGCCCTTTCTCTAGCTGTAGTTGTAGCATGTGGTCTGGTACACCCTGCAGGCTTTACCAGCTCTTTTTGATATTTCATTCTGGCCTATCCAATCAATAACCTTCAGCGCTGCAAATGGATGGGTTAGTCGCACCTAATTGTTCTTTTTTTCCTTTTTCAAAAAGATTTTTATTGGGGAATTGGGGGATGGGAACAGCGCTGGGGAATTGGGGTAAGGGGAACAGACAAGTTACTGTCCTTTTGTTCTTCAGTCTAGTTGTGGAGGGCGCAGCCTCACCGGCCCAAGCTGGCACCATCATGGCGCTCTTCCCGGGCAAGGCAGATCAGTCACCAGCTTCAGGACGGCGCTCACGCTGGCTGCTGGATACACACTGTAGCCCATGGCAATCCACTGCAGAAAGGGCTGCAGCCTACAGCATCGCTGGCGACTCACGGCAGCCCAGCTCCAGGTTGAGCTGGCGCCACTCTGCCGGCCCCTAATTGTTCTTTAAAGTGATCAACTAAAAAGATGCTCATTCCAATGTTGAGTGACTCCTACATTTTGGCTCTCATTGCTTTCTCCTTTGGATTAATGTAATAGCCTCTCACACTTTTTGTTGATTCCTTAAAAATTATGGTTAGTGGGATTAAGGATAATTTGCTAACTTTTAATTTTTCTTCACTGATGTCAATGATATAATTAAAACTGCCAAAAATATTTTATCCACTGGTGTAGTGGTTAACCACTCCTTTGCTACTCAAACAACCACATAGTTCAGTTGAAGCTGGACCCAATGCAGCTCTAGGAGTGGTCACAAGACCCGGGGCTGGCCAATCAATCATGGGGATTGGTTTAGGGTTAGTCGCAAGATCTGAGCCAGACCAATGACAGATGTCTAGGGACTTCTCTGGAACTAAAGAAAAGATCATTTACAACTGGATTGCTAAACTGGTAGAAAGCCTACTGCTGGTGGCCATCTTTGCAACCATGAGGGCAGCACCACTTCAGGAATGAAATAGAAACAGAAGAAAGCAGCAGAGTGGAGAGTAGACAGAAGTTTGAGGTTGCTTGTGCAGCTGGAAACCAGCAGTGCCAGAAATGAGCACTAAAATCATTTTAGTTGGTGTTAACATAAAAATAAAGACCTTTCAAAGTGAGAGGCAAACAAGCATTTGAGATCAATAAGAATAGCTATTCGGGAATCATTAATTCAGGCAAAAGCCCAAATAATGTTCCGATTAGGAGACAAAAGCAATGGTTATGATAGGGAAGGGGAATGATTTACATCTAATAGAAGGAAGGCATATTTATTCGTGCAGATAACATAGTGATGTTAATTCTAAAATGTTTTTCTGTCCAGGAGTCATAGTAACTGGTTTTTTTGTTGTGGTTGTAGTTGTTTTTGTTGTTTCTTTGAGAAACAGGATGCTTAGGCCCAATCCAAAGGTTATATTCCAAGGTTTGAGTTATAAGATATGCAAGGCAGTTCCTCTGGCATGGCAGCTCTGCCTCCATTTCAAAATGGCTCCGTTTATATTGTTTACATTGGGTTTGTCACTTGTAATTAAGAGACCTGTTAAACTCACTAATTTATATTTACAGAATTCCTCCTTCTTTCCTTTATTGAAAATCAGTACTTTTGCTTATATCCAAACTTCCTCTTCCCCATACTTTTAACAATTGCTCACATAATCTGTTATTTTGGGCCCGTCACTGCCTTCGTATCCTCCCCTGCCATTTCCACACTACTATCAGAGCCATCTGAGATGAAAATATGTCCATTATTTGCTTAAAATCTTTCACTCTTCATCACCTATAAGCAAAAACCCAAGTTCTTTCATATGACTTAACCCCTACCTAGCTGTCCAACTGAAATGTACCCTTCACTAATACTGGACTGCTTTGTACATCCCTGTACAAGCTACGGTACAAGTTTGGTTATGTAGTTACCCATCTTTTAAGCCAATTCAAGTCTTGTCTTCTCCAAGAAGCCATCTCTGACTGTCCCATAGTAAACTAAGGGCCCACAACTCGTGTATAACTTTTATTGCACATATGGCCCGTTAGTACTATCAGTTTGTATCAGTTTCTCCCACTGGTCCATAAGCTCAAAGATAGGATACTGCTTTATTCATCTGTGTCAGTGGCCCAACATGCCATGGGACAAAGAGTGCATGCACTGTGATTACATAACTGACAGTGGTTTAGTCAATTCTAGTTCCCCAGCGTGACGCTGAACCTTTTCAGAAAAGATGTATAGAACAAGCACCAATCTTGGGCTTCCAAATTAGTTCCAACTTCACAGTTCAAGTATTATTTTTTTAATGACAGCAGCAAATAAAAGGCGTTTTACTTTGTTATGATTATAAGTGTAATGTCTTTAGACCCAGGAAATGGGTCTATCTCTTCTGCATTTTACTTTTATGCCCTGAACTTGAGATTCTCTTATCTTCACCTATATTGGTCTATGATCACTCCGTTTCCAGTTATATTTACATCTGAGTTAACTGCAGAAAACTCCTTGGGTAGAATCTCTTTAGGTACATGCCCCTTTTTTATCTTACTGGTAAAAAATTAATGGCATTCATTCCATAGAGCCTTCTAGTACTCTTTAAACACACTGCATTTTTACAAATGCAACCCGGAGACACCTGCCTCGCTATGAACTAGCTATTTGAAGTCTGAACTTTTGTGACACTGTTGGAAACACTGAAAAATTCCTAACACACCTCTCAATTGTCACCCACTCCCCACCCAGGTTGCTATAAGGATTACATGAGATAACTTGCTAAAGGACCCCCCTAAGGGCTGTCCAAGTGACGTGTTGGTTAACAGCTGGTTTGAGACACCAGCTCTATGCAGCAGGGCCCCGGTTCGGATCCCACATGAGGGCCAGTGACACTGCGCTCCACAGCTAAGATGGAGAACAACAGCTCAACCTGGAGCTGGGCTGCCGTGAGTCGCTGGTGACGGCGTAGGCTGCAGCCCCTGCTGCAGTGGGCTGCCGTAAGCTACCGTGTGTGGCTGGCAGCCAGCGTGAGCGGCCGGCAGCTGTTGTGAGCTGCCAAGAGATGCCATGAGCGGCCGTCCAGAGGCCGGTGACCAATCTGCCTCACCCGGGAGGAGCACAATGATAATACCAACATGGACCAGTGAAGCGATGTCCTCCACAACTAGACTGAAGAACAAAAGGACAGCAACTTGTCTGTTCCCCTCCCCCAATTACCCAATAAAATCTTTAAAAAAACAAACAAAACAAAGTGCTGGTCAGTCACAAGATAAGGAGCTTGGCCAGAATCTGAATCAATAACCTACTTCGTTCATTTAAGAAATACACTACAAAAAAAAATGTCAGCTGAGCTAAACAGTGCGCTAAGCTCACCGATCAGCAGCCAGTCCACACTTTTGGACCATCCAGCATCTTTTAAACAAGTTTGCTATGAGCTCTGAGCCCTTAAGTAAAATCCAGAATTTTCCCCAGCCTCTGTTGCAGCCAGGACAGAGGTACGTGACCTAGGACCTGCCAATCAGAGGCATTCATGTAAGTTTTTGATTAGGAAAACACATAAAAGAAAGTGCTAGGGGGCCGGCCAAGGGGCACATTGGTTAAGAGAAGGCTTGGGACGCTAGCTCTGAGCAGCAAGGCCCCGGTTCGGATCCCACATGAAGGCCAGTGACACTGCCCTCTACAGCTACAATGGTGAACAACAGCGTGACCTGGAGCTGGGTTGCTGTGTCGCCAGCGACGGCAGAAGCTGCAGCCCCTGTTGCAGGGGGTTGCCATAAGCTACCGTGTGGCCGGCAGCAGGTGTGAGCTGCTAAAAGCTGCCGTGAGCGGCCGTCCAGAGGCCGGTGACCTATCTGCCTCACCGGGGAAGAGCACAATGATAATACCAACCTTGGCCAGTGAAGCAACGTCTTCCACAACTAGACTGAAGAACAAAAGGACAGCAACTTGTCTGTTCCCCTCCCTCAATTCCCCAATAAAATCTTTAAAAAAAAAAAAAGCACTAGGTAAAATCCTTTATTCTGGTCAGGACACACACATCTAGCTTTGGGGATGAGCTGAGACAGAGACTGACATCTAGTGACCACCGATAGCAGTGCAGGATGTCGTGTCCATACCTAGTGTGACAGCAATGGGGTATTTGCTAGGGAAGGCCCAAGCCATAGTTTGGATACTGTTTCTGGCTGTGCAGCTTTGAAGCCCAACTCTGGCCTTTCCAAAGATTATTTGGGTTATTCTACTCATTTATAAAGTTTGAAATAGCTTTCAAGTTTAGTCATTTAGACCCATATAAACTTAACATTTTTTATGATCAATTTTAAGCCTACTGAAATATAACTGTCCAAAAAACCCAAAATGGAATGTAGTTTACCCATATTTTATACACAATGAGTGTTAATCCATATTATTTAGTCATAGTTATTTAATTTTTAACTTTACTCAAAGAAGGTCAAAACAATTCTGTCACTGCTATTTTGAATAGACCTAACTAAAATTATGAGTAGGGATCTATAATTTGGACCTCTAAAAATGACTAATATTTTTCCAATAATAATGGAAAATGGCTGCCTGAGGGTGTTGTCTTTCAGATATGCTGAGTACTCGATTCATGTTTAGAAAATTAAGGAGTCCAGTCTCTTTTTTCTCAATCTCACTGCCAAGAAATGTGTAAGAAGTCAAGAGCTTGGTTAGCATGGTAGGAAGGAGACTACTGATGTTTTGTCTGGGGTGAGTTTTAGCTACTGTAATCAGAGCCACAGTTTGATCCTTGCAGGTGGAGCCCTGGTATTACAAGATATTTAGTTCATGTAAGAACTTCCCTTTCTTCTAAGAGTTAAGATTTAAGAAAACATTTTAGCTACTAAATCATAAGCAAAACAACTTTCCACAGAAGCTGCAAGAATCTCATGTTTCACAAATGAGTGTGCTGAGACACTTTAATCAGTCATTTCTTTCTTTCAATATATTTTATTCTGATGACGTTACAAAAGTAGATACAAAATACTTTTTTAAAAGTACAGTTAACTGACTTAGAAAAATAGATAAAGCCCCTAAAAGTTTAAAAATACAACATAAATTTTCATGTAAAGAACATTTAAGAATATTTTAGATGGTAACCAAAACACGCAAGCTATTTCTTTATGTAGACCATAGAATGCTGTTCTATAATAAATCTATAGCACACTGGCAATCCATTTGGATTTACAGAATATTTGTTTGGAACAGCATCTGATGAGAGAAAACCCAAGTGAATTTCAATGTAGTTGCTTCAATAAAATACCACTATCGCATGGAATATTCCCAAAGCCTTTTATAGTCTGAAATATCACGAAAACACAGGAAGACTGAGGGACTACTATTTTCCCCCTTTGTCAGAATTCTACAACAGTAAAAAATCAAATCCACTTACTGAACAGGTATGAGGAGGAAATAATGTCCCTGTTGAAGGCGCTCAGTTTGGTGTTCCAGCTGGTATTTTCCAGGCCAGAGTTCTACAGACAGGGGACAGCCCCCTATAACCAGGCAGGGGTAACACCAGCACCATGACTGGGGCTGCCTGGACACAAATTTCTAGGACTTACACTCTTTGGGCCCGATTTGTTTACGCTTATGAGGTAATAATGTTAAGTTCAGAATCTCCACTTCTCGTATAACCTCACTGCTCTGAGAAAAGCACAAGAGTATAATCAGGAAACCTCAACCGTGTTTGCAAAAGTTCAAATCATCACCAGGACTGCTCCTCTTGTCTCACACTAAGAAAACTTTCCTTTTGTTATCAGAGTTATGATGAATACAGATTTCCATTTCTTGAGCAGGCAGCTACATGAGCTAGACTCTACAAGTCTAAGATGAAAAGGAATACTATGTTAGTTGACAGCCCTCTAAAATCCCTTTATTCAGTCTGGAGAAGAAAGGATACATTTGGCTGTCAATACAAATACCATAGTACAAGGAAGTTTCAATATTTAAACAAAAATCTGCAATATCATTGTCCAAAAGTCTTTTTAAAGGCCTGGAAATAAAAGCACCAAAGGATTAACTGCATAATTTACAAAGTACTCTCCACCCATGACTGTTGTCTGTGGTGTGAGGAGCAGCGAATCGGACAGACACAGAGAGGAGATGACTTATGACTGGGAGGCGGTAAGGGGAGGGGCGTTGTGGAACAGGCAGACCCTGGGCACAGGGAGATAAATCAAAAGGGAGAGGAGTCCAAGCGGACTGATTTCTTCCAACTCTTATCAAAGGTTGGCCCTCTAGCCAAGTCAGGAAACTGTCATCCTCTCCCCTTCCTCCAATTCTCCTGCCTTCAACTCCCTGTCGTTGGATGTAAACAAATCATGTTAACATTGTTTAGATGCACTGTTGATTAAGCCAGATTAGCTTGGGGACCTGGTAATGTTTTTTTGTTGTTGTTGTTAAAGAGGACATTCTGGGTTTCAAATTACTAATAATTTTATGTTTCATTAATAAGACGCCTTTACTACTATTCTAACATGACCATCTTTGGTTCGTTTTAGGGCTGAGTCATGAAGAGAGGGAGGATTTCTATCACTGAAAATGGGAAAAAGTGAGAACCCTTTTGTTGAGAATATCTGAAATACTAGAGATGATGAAAGTACAACCCTAGTTGAGAAATCTAATTTCATTCCTTACAGACTTAATTAAAGCCAACAAGGTTTAAAGTCAAGAGGCAGTAACATTCTAGGTGGCATTTAAAAACCTACTTTCTTGTTTGTAAATGATCGATATAAACATACAAACCGCCTGACAAGGACCTTTGAATAAACTTAAACTGTGGATTGTGGCATTTCCCATAGGAGGCTTTTCTCTTTTTTTCATACGATTATCCCACTCTTTAATTCCTGAAACAATGAGGTATGGTTTCTGCCTAAATCAAATAAAAAGTGATTTTATTTGATTTGATTTTTTATTTTATTTGAATTTTATTTGAATTTATTAAAATTCTGTATGTTTAAGAATTTATTAAAATTGAGCTGTTATAAAAATGAAGTTTCTAAGCAATTCTTTTTTTTATACTCTAGTGGAATAATAAAAATAAATATCAAAAAAAGAAAAAGAAAAAACCCTGTCAAAACTAACCTTTGTCAAAGCCATCAAGGAAGTTGGTGAGTACTTTGCAAAAGTCACAGCTCTGGAACAGAATGCTAATAAACAAAGTGGTGCTGGTATGGCAAGTCTTTAGTATACTTGTGGTCAATACATTTTTAAACTGTCAGAAACCTAATGAAAAGCAGATCTTTTCTTCACTAAAGGGAAAGATTCTTTTAATCCCAATAGAAACAGAATTTCAAGTTTTGTTACAAAAACAATTATAATAGGATAAAACACCAATGGGGGCTCAACAGACTTTTTTTTACTTATTCCTCCCATTTTTGCCTCCTTTAAACACAAACACACACACACACACACGAATAGGCAACACACCAAACTTTTAGCTGTGCTATAAAATGTGTACACCTTTCAAGGTTTTTTTTATTGCGGTTTTCCTGAAGTTTTATCCTTATTGGGATAAAGTTCGTGCATTTCTCCACTACTCTTAACTAAGTCTCAAGTCACAATAAAAACATATAGAAGTAATTTTTTTTTTAAAAGGAAACTCAAAACAAAATAATCAAGAAATCTGAATACTTTCTTCCATTCTCCTATCCAGAATTTCAAGGCCTCTGAAAGACAATATGAATGAAAATAGTGGTTTTGAGACCTAAATTTGTCATAATTTTTTGAAAGTTTTTTTTCAGCCCAAAGTTGCATATTAAAATTCATCTGAATGAAGTATTTCAAAATAAAAATCTACAAGACCATCCTTAGATGCCTTAAAAAATTATTTCTGATACATACTCCTAAACATTAAAATAGGTTCATATATGAATAAAATTCCAAATAAAGATTTAAAAATAAAGTCATTTTTGAAATAACTTTGGTTACTGCCACACATGTCATATGATGATTTAAACTGCAATGATGGATTTTGAAAAATATGCATACATGTATTATCTATAAAAACACTAGTGTACAATTTCAAACTAAAAGGTTATCCAAAGTGACACACGTACTTTAAATCTTAAGGAAACTTAAAAATATCCCTTCTATTTGTAAAATAAAAGCATGATAAAACTGATCTGATTGTGCTATGAGGAAATTTGTTGTGGAAAACCTATTAATAAATTATTGATGGAAATTCTTAATATCCATTATCCTGTACCCTGAAAAGACTCAATCATGTTCTTTAATAAAAGAATAGTAAGTACTCTGGTAAACTACAGGTTAATAATCATATAAACCAAGTGTGATTTTGTGACAATAACAGGAGTGGTCACACAGTGCCTCAGATTTGGCTGTGTCCTGAATTTCTCACTCTGAAGATATTAGGCCAACCTACCTTTGGGACAATTTTTATCAGTAGACTCAGACAATTGGTGTCTTTTTATCCTGTTAAAGTTTGTATCACTAATTTATAACAGATAGCAACGAGATAGCTCTAGCATTAGATGAAGCAAGAGGATAACTTTGTTCTAGAAGAAACATTTATCTGTCCTTCGATCCAAGCTTCTCAATCAATTCCTGAAGAGGTGCCAACTCACGCCTATCAATCAGATTAAACTCCTAAAAAGAGAAGAAAAATAAAATTTAAAAATAGATCTAAAATTAAAACTCTGTCAATGCCATTCAGAGAAGGGATTCATAACCCTAGTTTTCTGAAATCTGAAAGAATGATAAGATGATCTCTGTGAACATTTTAAAATGTGATTTTTTACTCCCCCTTTTAAAATATAGGGGACTTACTAAATAAGCAACTATACGTATTAGCATGATGCTGTGTAAAACATTAAAATCAAAACTGTATGTTTGCATTTATATAGAAATGATTTGAAAACTGTACACTGAAACTTTGATAGTGGCCACCTCTGGGGGAGTGGATCTTTTCCTTTCATATATCTGTATCTACATTGTATATATATATCTATGTCATGCAACAATCTCAGAAGGAAGACAAAGAAAAGTACAATACATTCTCCTTTGTGTGATACATAGAATTCTTTTTTGTTTGTTTGTTTTAGCTGAGCCATCCTGCCACCTGTTGGCAGCTCAGCGGCAGCTCAGCTTGGGCCGTGAATCAAACCGGATACATAGAATTCTAATACACAATACTTACTGTAAAGCTACTGGTTTTTCCACCAAAAAATAGTATCTAGACATATTTATATTTTGCATATAGAATTATATATCCCTAAAGTGAGGTTAAAGAAGTCCTAATTCTTTGATATCTTTTGCAAACAATGTGAATTATTTTGACTTTAAAAAGTTCCAATTCCAACTTAAGGCTCGTAAGGCAATGGGCCACATTTTTTAAGGGGGTGGCCCTTTATTTAAGTGTCTAGCTTTGATTTCATAAGATTTGGCCTGAGGCAGGACTTCTGGAAATTTAATCCATGATAGCAGCTAACAGATTCTTCCAAAAGTTTCTCTTCCAGACAGAAACATCTCATGAAACAATCCAACTGCAGGTGTTTTTCATAGCATCCCTTCATGCACCAGTGGCGATGGAACTGAAGGGTATGGACAAGCTTTCTTGGGGTTTTGGTGCTCCTTGTCATATCCTAACCAGAGACCTGGGCAGCCAGAGGCAGAAAGCCAAAAATGGGCGGTGATGCTTTCTAAGATGCTACGCACATCGGTAAGATAAACAATGTGGAAAAGAGAACAGAAAAAGAGAACCCTGCTTATATTTAGCTCTCTCTATATAAGTAAGATTCTATACATTGCTCTTTATTAAAGTTACCAAGCCAAATGTGTCCAAGTCAAAAGACACAGAAGTCAACATGGTTAAACTTACCTGAACAAAGAAAATAAAGTGCTTAAAGGAGGTGTTGAGGTGGGCCTCCTCTTGCAGCTGCATCACAGAATCGAAGTGCTGGTGATAAATATGGGCATAAACCCTGAACAGACGCTTTAGAATGGTCTTTGCCACAGACATAAAGTTTTTGGGAAATGGGACACCTATAATCAAATATACATACATATCCATTAGTCTTTTATCGAATTGAACAGCATAAAGTTTAGACACAGCCACGAGCAACTCCAATACAGAAACACACACATTCACAAATACAAGCTGGTATTTCCATATTTTTAAAAAGACAAGGAAAAACAGAATCCCAAACCTAAGTACATGAGGTTATGTTCATATACCACACTTTTTCGAACTGCCTTAGAATAGCAGGCACAGGTACCAAAAGTTATATAAGCTGCTACTGAATCAAAGTTAAAACAAACATAATTTTAGTTGTTTTACTAGTGAAGGCTTTCTTCCTAAGATTAACTGCAACAAGAATTAGCATTTTGACTATAAATAGAAAAGTTTTACTCTTTGTTATTTGTAACTCCAAATTTTTTTTTTTTTTTACATACTCAACCAGGACTGGAAACTCTCCTAAGCAAAAGAAAAAAAAAAGGGCACACTCTTGAGTCATGATATTCTACTCTTCACAAATAGTTTTACCTTCTGAATTACTCTGAAAACCTAGTTTTCTTTCTTAAACGAGAAGTCCCCAACTTTTTAATTTTTAAAAAGTGCTATTTTCATTTTCTTGTAGTCTAAGAAGGGCATATACTTCCTGAAAAAGGGAGAATGGGCAGCTCCCTAGTTTTCAAAGCAAATAAACACATCCTTAGAAAAGACCTGGGGGGCCGGCCGAGTGGCACAATGGTTAAGAACTGGCTTGGGACGCCAGAGGGGCCCGGTTTGGATCCCACATATGAGGGCCAGTGACACTGCCCTCCACAGCTAAGATGCTGAACAACAGCTCAACCTGGAGCTGGGCTCCGTGAGTCGCCGGCAACGGCATAGGCTGCAGCCCCTGTGGCAGTGGGTTGCCATGGGCTACTGTATGTAGCCAGCAGCCAGCGTGAGCGGCCAGCAGCTGCAGTGAGCGGCCGTAGTGAGCAGCCGTCCAGAAGCCGGCGACTGATCTGCCTCGCCCGGGAAGAGCGCAATGATGGTGCCAACTTGGGCCAGTGAAGCAACGTCCTCCACAACTAGACTGAAGAACAAAACGACAGCAGCTTGTCTGTTCCCCTTCCCCCAATTCCCCAGCACTGTTCCCATCCCCTCAATTCCCCAATAAAAAATCTTTTAAAAAAAAGACCTGGGAACAGGTTTGGTAATCTTTCTCCAAGTAGTACAGGTAGGGATGTGACTGGTTACATTCCTGAGAATGTTGGTTGACAAGGCCAAAGTCTTTTAGAAGGCAAGGAGAGGAGAAAAACAACACAAATGGCACTGAGTATAGTAAATAAACACACAAGAAGGCATCTGATTCCAAAGTAACCTAGATTAGTTAGACTTAAAGATCTGTTCCAAAACATTACTCGTGAAACTTTAATCTTCCAGAGGATAAAGGCTAAATCATTTTCTCCTTCCCTGTTTTAATTTATTTCTCAATCAGTTTAATACCTTGAAATTTAGTATAGTTTGCTCTTAGAAGCTCATTTTTGTGAGGTTCCCCCCCCCACCCCGAGTCTGGGCATAATTTGCCCTTTCAAACATTATTCTGGAACTTACAGGCATGTTTTTCTGAACTGGGGTCTTGTATTGTGTATTGAAAAGATGGATTTTAAGTCAAACTCCTTTTCTCTCAGAATTTACAAATGGGCATCTTGCTAATAAAAGGAATAGTGTTAACTTGGATATACTAGTTTAAAAATGAATAATAAACAGTTTCACCTAATATGAATAAATAACTGGCGTAAGTAAGATGTGGATAATAGCCTAATTAGGCAGAAAAGAATTTCAGAACATAAGAATAAAGTACTGTAGAATGGAAAGCTGAAAAGAGAATGAAGTCAAAAATATTCTTTATCCTCCATAAGAGGAAAGCTTGAATGAATAAAGAAATCTAATTTGTTTTAATCTAAGCACTTTCCAAGTACAATTTAACAGAAACAGTCAAGCATAGTCAATATACAATAACAAATCTGTGAGAAAGGAAATAAAAGGTTATTTAATAGAATGGAAAAGCTGACCAACAGCAAACGGACCAAGTGTAACAACATGATATAAATTTTTCTCCCGAAAGAGCCTGTGATTAGACTGCAAAGAAGGAAATCTGCTAAGGTCTGAATGTTTGTGTCTTCCCACAGCAAAATTCTTATGTTGAAGTCCTAACCTTCTGGGGGATGGCATTAGTAGGGGGAGCCTTTGGGAGGTGATTAGGTCACAAGGGCAGAGCCCTCAGGAATGGGATTAGTGCCCTTATATGAAAGAGGCCCCAGAGAGACTGCTCTTGCACTATGTGAGGACTAGGTGAGAAGTCAGCAGTCTGCAGTCCACAAGTGGACCTTCACAAGAACCCAACCATGCTGGAGCCCCCTGATCTTGGGCTTTCAGCCTTCAAAACTGTGAGAAATAACTTTCTGTTGTTTATATGCCATTCAGCCGCTGGCATTTTTGTTATAGTGGCCCAAACAGACAAGACAGAATCCAACAATATGCTCTTCATAAGACACCCTTAAACTGAAAATGACAAGGACTAATCTCATCAATAAATACCAATGCCAAAATCTTAATCAAAGTATTAGCAATAAAAAAGACCCTTCCAGGAGATCATTAAAAAAATAATGGCGGGCCGGCCGAGTGGCGCGATAGTTAAGAACTGGCTTGGTACGCCAGAGGGCCCTGGTTTGGATCCCACATATGAGGGCCGGTGACACTGCCCTCCACAAAAAAAAAAAAAAAGGAAAAAACCTCACGGTCATCAACAATAGATACTGGAAAGGTATCCAGTAAAATTCTACAACCATACCTAACCTAAAAGAATTCACACACCTCTAACCAAAAGCAAGATTCTTGTTTAATACTGACGTGCTAGAAGCACTCATATACAGAGGGTGCCAAAAAAATGTATACACATTTTAAGAAAGGAAAAAACTGTATTAAAATTGTAATAATATATACCGATAACAAAAGATGAATACAAGTCATGTGTATACATTTTTGGACACCACCCCCCCCCCGCCAGGATAAGGAAGCAAGAAAAGGATGTTTGCGGTCATCACCATTAGTCAGCACTACTCTGAAAATACTAGTTGGTACAATTAGGTTAAGAGTTTCACAAGAAGTATACATATCATAAGGAAGAGACAAAATTAGTATTATCTCAATATGTAATTGTATACTTAAAAAACTTAAGGAAATCAACCCAAAACAACAGAAACGATCAAAGTCTGATGGTGAATTATAAAATTTATATAAAAATCAACATCTTTTCTATATACTAAACAAGACCAGTTGGAAACCAGGTATCAATAAAAAAACATTAAATGCCTAGAAATAAACTTAAGAAACCTGAAGGATAAGCATAAAGTAAACTACAGAATTTTACAAGAGGAATAATAAGAAACATGAATAATTGAAGAACTATACCTTGTTCTTGGATAGAAAGCCTCACTATTGTCAAGGAAACAAGAAACCCTATGTTAATCTACAAATTGAATGAAATTATAATCAAAATCTCAGGTTTTTTTTGTTTGTTTTTTTTTTACCTTGACAAAATGATTCTAAGTTCTTTGGAAGAACAAATATCCCAGAATAGCCGTGAATATTCTGAAAAAGAAGAGCAAGGAAGAGAGACTAGCCCTACAAGATGCTCAAAGATATATGGCCATAGTTAATTAAAAAACAGTGTGGAATTTCTACAGGAACAGATAAAGAGAGTCAAAGACTCCAAAATATGTAGCAATTTGATAATCAGGGGAGAAAAGACATATGTATTTGATAAATAGCACTGGACAAACTGACTACCATTTATAATAGGAAAAAAATTAAGGGAACATTGAGAAAAAAAATTCCTGATACAAGATTTAAATGTAAAAACAAAACCAAAGAAGTACTAAAATGAAAACATGGACAAATATTTTTATAATACTGAAATAGAGAAAACCTTTCTAATCACTGATTAAAATCCAGACATCATTAAAGAAAAGATTAATAGGATAAAGTAAAAAAAGTTATATATAGTAAAGTACCTCATGAACACAAGACAAAAGGCAACCTGGAGACAACATGTATGACAAAGAGCTAATATCCTTAACATACAAAGAAACGGACAAGGGATATAAACAGAAAACACAATGATCAATAAACCACAAAATGTTCAATCTCAACAATACTTTAAAAATGTATCTTAAAACAAATTTACCTATCCCAATTATAAAAGATTGAAAAAATGAGTAACAACAAGTACAGGCAGACACAAATAAGTCTGATAGGGGTATACATTTATAATCTTTTTGGAGAGAAATTTGGGAATCTGTTACATTTTCTTAAACAGAGCTTTAAAAAGAACACATTTACAGGCCGGCCCAGTGGAGCGTTGGTTAAGAGCTGGCTTGGGACGCCAGAGGACCCCGGTTCGGATCCCACATATAAGGGCCAGTGACACTGTCCTCTACAGCTAAGATGCTGAACAACAGCTCAACCTGGAGCTGGGTTGCCATGAGTCGCCGGCGACGGCGTAGGCAGCAGCCCCTGCTGCAGTGGGTTGC